AAAGACCAAATGAAGAACAGAATAGAGGCATGGGAAGACAAAGCACTACATGGCCAATACATTAAAAAAATAGCTGGGAAAGCAGATAATAATAAAACCTGGCAATGGCTAAGAGCAGGAAAATTGAAGAAAGAGACCGAGGGACTAATTCTGGCTGCACAAGACCAAGCCTTAAGGACAAATGCATACAAAGTCAAAATTGAGAAGACAGCAACAGACAGTAAGTGCCGCCTATGCAAAGAAGCTGAAGAAACAGTGGACCATTTGGTAAGCTGTTGCAAGAAGATTGCACAGACTGATTACAAGCAGCGGCATGACAAAGTAGCAACAATGGTGCATTGGAAGATCTGCAAAAAATATCATTTGCCTGTAAGCAAAAACTGGTGGGATCATAAAATAGAGAAAGTCATAGAAAATGATAAAATTAAACTGCTCTGGGACTTCAGAATTCAAACAGACAAGCACCTGCAACATAACACCCCAGACTTAACAATTGTCGATAAGAAAGACAAAAAAGTCTGGATAGTGGACGTGGCAGTGCCTGGAGATAGCAGAATAGAAGAAAGAACTGGAGAAGATAACAAAATACAAAGACCTACAAATAGAAATAGAAAGACTGTGGCAAAAGCAAGCAAGGGTAGTACCAATAGTCATAGGCTCCTTGGGTGCAATCCCAAAACAACTGGAGCACCACTTGAACACCATTGGCATCGACAAATTCGCTATTAGTCAATTGCAAAAGGCGGCCTTATTAGGAACTGCTTCCATCCTGCAACGATATCTGTAATACCATCAAACATCCACATCTGCCTATCCCAGGTCCTGGGTAAGGACTCGATAGGTAGACAAAATGCCAAATCCAGTCTGAACATCTGACTGACTGTGCGATGATCGATAATAATAATAGTAAAGTTGGAAGGGACGTTGGAGGTCATCTAGTCCAACCCCCTGCTCAGGCAGGAAACCCTATACCATTTCGGACAAATGGCTGTCCAATCTCTTCTTAAAAACTTCCAGTGTTGGAGCATTCACCGCTTCTGGAGGCAGGTTGTTCCACTGGTTAATTGTTCTAACTGCCAGGAAGTTTCTCCTTAGTTCTAGGTTGACTCACAAATAGCACATACTCCAAGGCCTGATGGGAGAAACAGACTAGGAGCTATATTTTTTTTTATAATCAGTGATTCATTTCCTATAAAAACAACATAATTCCATCTGCTCTCAGCTCATAATGATTGAAACAGACATGATGCTGGTGTTAAGATTTTGCATGCGGAGGTGGCAAACCTCACATACTACTTGTCCTTAGCAGCATCAATTTTGCAATCATATTGAAGCCCTCAGTAATGCTAGAATCTCCTCTCTTAATTTATTTGTTTATTTATTTATTTATAAAATGTATTGGCTATTCATTTTACTTCAGAGTATCTGTGGGCAACTTACAACCTTAAAAAATAAAAACTGTGCAAAGATAAAAACATAAATTGGATACAACACATAGCCGAATACAGCTGCCCAATTAAAAGATGGGGAAGGCAGAAAAAAGGATGGGGGGGGGCAAGGTGGCATCTGTTGTTAATTAATCAACTACCTCCACTGTAATGCTCCCCATTAGAGTCCCAAGCCAACTGGCCCAGCCAGGTCTTTGGGCTCTTATGGAAGGTAGGAAGGATTGGAGCCAACCTCACTGCAGGGGGCAAGACATTCCAGAGGACAGGTGCAATGGCAGAGAAGGCCCTTCTCCTGGAACCCATCACCTGGAATACTCAGGCTGATGGGGCCAACAGCATGCTTCCTTTGCCAGCAGATGTGGGACAAGCCAATCCTAGTGGGATGAGGTGGTTCCTCAAATAGCCTGGATCCATGTCATGAAGGGCTTTAAAGCTGATTACCAATCCTTCAACTGCACCCAGAGGCAGACTGGCAGCCAATGCAGTTCACAGAGCAGTGGTGTTACATGGGCCATTCTTGGGATCTGCCCACGCTACCGCATTCTGCGCCAGCTGTAGCCTATGCATGCTCTTCAAGGGTAGCCCCATGTAGTTGACAGAAATAGGACTCTTGGCCTTACAGTTATTTAATTCTAACACGCATCAGTTAACCAGGTGTTTTGCAACCTCAGTAACTTTAAGCTGTGTGAACATCAACTTCCAGAATTTTTTAACCACCAAGCAGTTTAAGTCCATACATTTAAAGTTACTAAGCTTGAGAAACACTAAGCTAATCCATTGTACAGAAAAATGGTAGCACAGCAATATCTGGAGAGCCAATGAGTCCCTACAATTGGTCTATAGTAGTGCATTATTTACTGAACAGGCAACAAGAGTTTTTGGCCTGCTGGGACAGAAGTTAGAGCTGACTGGTCTGATTATGGCAACAAATCAGGCCTACATTCATGCCTTGTTTTCCTATACTACTGTTTATTGCTCCCAGCTTGGCAGATTGGTTGGTAACTCATACCTAGAAATGTGGGGCACCTCCTCAGTAACTGAAAGATGAGACTTTCACCAACACAGTGTACCAGTATTTGGCTTACCATTATAGGAAGAGTTCCCAGAAATATAATATATCTCATGCCTTGAAATACTTGATTTATGAGTGCAACTACATCCAATTATGTAAGGGCAGCCCATGGCTGGGGATATTTGCATGATTGTAAGCATGCAAAGGAGGAAGAAATATTTTTTACAGAAGTTTTTAGTTTTGTATATTATAAGCCACCTTGAATCCTGTGAGTAAGCAGCATACAAATGCTGATAGGTACATACAATAAATAGATAACAAATGAAGGCAAATATACAGGTCCCAGGATAATGTTACAGGATCCATTTGCTGTTATTCTATATGATAACGGCTAATGTTAGACAAGGGACCTGGAAAGGCAACTGGAAAAAGCATGGAAGATTAGGCTGTCAAAACTATTAGTATGGATGGCACAATAACAATATAGTAATTGTTATTTATTATTCATAATAAATAATAATAAATAAATACTTGTCTGTGGCTAAAGTAAGCAAAGGGAGTACTAATAGTAATAGGCGGCTTGAGTGCGATCCCAAAAGAACTGGAACACCACTTGAACTATCATGTGAGCAGTTGTATGAACAAAAATCTAAAGTATTGGTGTGGGTAGAAGGAAGTGGGGAGCACACGTAACAATTGTGACATAGAACTGGAAGAGAGATCTCTACATCCCAAGCTGCCTTTACAATTCTGAACTTAAAACTGTTTCCATTAGTACTTCTTTTTTCACTATCAAACACCTTTTATTGCCTTCATACAAATCTGCCTGCTCCTTTTTGCTGGCGTGTGTCTTCATTCAGAATAGCAATAGCGCTTAGATTTATATATTGCTCCGTAGTCCTTTACAGCACTCCCTGAGTGGTTTACAAATGTTAGCATATTTCCCCCCCCCCAAACAATCTGGGTCCTCATTTTATCAACCAGAAAAGATGGAAGGCTGAATCAACCTTGAGCCAGTCAGGATCGAACACCAGGCTGTGGGCAGAGTCAGACTGCAATACTGCATTCTAACCACTGCACCACCATCGTTCAGAAGCTTTCTCTGTTCAAAATATTCCTGAAAAATCTCAGTTCTTCCATAGGCATTGCCTCCCATAGACGTCCAATTACATTATTTCTATTCACTTACATTGAAATGACCAACCTAGCACCCAAGGGCTATGTACAGCTTCTGGTCTAATTCCAAAAACCTTCAGCAAGCAACATAAAAAAGAGATGTCTGTTGTTCCTCCTTTCAAAGCTCTCTGGGCAGAGACTGAGGAAGAGTAAATTAGGCAGAAAAGGAGGTAGCAAAAGTGACAGACTTTCATTTGCATTTAATCCCCATGATGTAGTTCCAAATATATCTCTGGAATCTGTTCCTACCCTCTTTAACATACAATGTTTAAGAGCGTCAGAATTACAGTATTCTGCTGGATTGGATCAAAGACCTGCTTAGTCTAGAACCTTTTTAACTAAATGACTAACAATATTTTTGCACCACGCTCTATCCCAGGGATCTTCAGACTTGGCCCTTTTATGACTTGTGGACTTCAACTCCCAGAATTCCTAAGCCAAGCACGCTGGCTGAGGAATTCTGGGAGTTGAAGTCCACATCTCATAAAAGGGCCAGGTTTGAAGACCCCTGCTCTATCCCATGAGCTCATGGAAACAGATTCCTTTGAGAGGCTCACAAGAAGGACCTGGATGAGACAGGACCCATTCATTTCTTTCCACAACTTTTATTCAGAGAAGACTCTCTCAAGTCAAACTTACTCCAAGTGGGGAACTCCAAGGTCATGTCTATGTAATTTTTTGGCAGCATTATCAAAGGTTTTTGCCATTGTGGTTTTTTGGTCTTTCTGTCTAGACTTCTTAGTCTAGCCTGCAGCTCTGTGACTTCTGGTAATTTTCCATCAAAATACTATGAGTTCTAACCCTAGTTAGAATTTTAGATTTTTGAACTCCACAAAGATCTGCCACCTAGCTGAGCTTTCAAAGGAATATTTAGCATTAATTATGGTTCCACTGACATCCCTAACAGTAATTAGATGGTAATCTGATATATTGAAATATACTGTATTTTGTTTATTTTATTTGTTTAGTTTGTATAGCCATCCATCTCACATACACAATTCCTAGCAGTAAGATACTGATGACAGTAATTATATCCCATCCTTGATTTGTTAGTTTACAATGGTGTATGTGTGTGTGTGTGTGTGTCCTTTTATCTTCACCCCAGCTCCATAGAATGGTTTAGGCCATGGGTGTGCAATCTTTTGGCTTGCATTGGCCACATTGAGTGAAGACTATCATGTGTCCATTCCCCCCCCGTAATAAACAGAGATTTGAACCTAGCTATCCATAAACCCTCTTGACATGTTGAATAGCCTCTTAGTGACACACCGATTTAAACATAGTGTCAACTCTACAATTTTAGATTTTTGAACTCCACAAAGATCTGCCACCTAGCTGAGCTTTCATTTTTCTTCTCATTCTAGGTTGCCACATAGAACGGAGGGAGGACGTTGTCCATGTGCTTCACTAGTCAAAATAATCTTTTTTCCCATGGGAACCAAGGTCATCGGATGCTCCCAAGATTAAGGACTGGGCATTGCATAATCATATTAGGGACATAGTTGCTTGCATAGTTTTATGGGTGGGACATTTAACTTTGTATTGTTAAATTGTTACTTGTGTATTCATATTTGGTTTCACTCTTGACCATGCCGATACTTTGTAACTAATAAACATGTTCTTTGAGGAATTCTCAAGTCTCGGAGTTCTGCTTTATTTGTCTCTGTCTGTCGGAACCATGACACATAGGCTTGGATCACTAGTGATTTTTTTTCCTTCATGTATTTTCTGGACCTTAGATAGGATTCTGGACAAGGATAGCTATTTCAGATTTCTCTTCTCTTAGTACACAAAGTGCACTGTTTCCCATTGACACATAGGATTGGGATTGCTTCAGATTTCCTCAATGCTTAGACTAGCTAGGACATGGAATAAACAAACTCAGTCCACTGACAAAATGCATTTTTGAATTTTTGGTTGAATTACTGGATTTTTTTTTCATTTGAAAGGCTGGTGTCTTGTACTCCTAGTTTAAAATAGTTTAAATTTAAAATCCCAAAATATCATTAAACAAGATGCCTGGGAAGGTGGCTAAGATTATTTTAGAACTATCACAGTAAGGATTTTGGACAATCTATTACTGAAAAATCTTCCCTTATAAAATTACCCAGAGATCCACATGCTGGATACACAACTAGGATCATTTTTCAAATTAAAAATAAATTTTACCATCCAATTGTATTCATATCCAACCACAAAATACTGTGACAATGTCTTTGATCTCTAATATATAAAATTGCTGGCTTACTATGAAAAACGGGAAAGAAATCAGTTTACTGGTGAGCTTCTTCCAAAGTGCCAGAGGAAATTTACCTTTTTAAATCAAAATTAAATTGTCCAGTGTGTTCATATCAAATTAGTGGAAGATTTAAATCTGACATTTATACATGCTTTCAATTCTTAGGATGTTTGAATTCCCAGCACTAGTAAGTTTTTTGCCCTCAACTTTTGTACTTTGGCATCTTTTAGGATTCTCCATGTCGCTCTGTGAGAAAGATGGCCAAGCTCCAAATGTTATTTATTTATAAAATGTATATATAAAAAATTTGGAGAGTGCACAGATAAAATAAGAATATCTGCTACTTCCTATTCTGCATGGATCACACTGTTTTGTTTACATTTTCACATGTGTTTGGAGAAATAAACTAAAATACAGATTACTGTATTTCTATGTATCCAGCAACATATACGTGAACTTTATCTATATATGCATATGCACTGCATCCTGTCTCTTTGTTCTCTAATTTGTGCATTTCTCACTCTTCTCTGAGAAATGGCCTTATTATTTTGGATCCTAGTTCCAGAAGCAGGAACATTGACAGAACAAGCTTAATGCTACCTGTTGCGTCCTTGGCGGGAAAACAGACACGAGAAGCAGCTGGAGTTCTCAGGTTCTTTTATTCAGCGTTCAGCTTACAGGAAGATGGCTTCAGCTCAGCCCAAACGCCTCGCAGCCCCTTATATAGGCAACTCCCGGGTAATGGGTTACTTTTCCCGCGCCAGCACCCGCGCATGCGCACGGCGCTGGCGACAGCCTGTCTGGTCCCGGGCAGCTTTGCACCTGCCCGGGACTGCCTGCAAACGCCCGAGCCGTTTGCAAAGGCTCGGGACATAACACCCCTTTCCCCCGGGCTAAAACTACTACCAACATACAGCATTTATTTTATATAACATTTTGCTCCCCAGTGCTCCCACTGTTTACTGGCCTTTGCCTTGCCAGCAATGTTATGTAGTCTTCTAGGTACTTGGGAGATTTCTTTGCTCTCTGTGACCTTCTTAGCTGTGGGTTACTGGCATAAGTCCCCTGACTGGAGGGAGGCGTGAGCCTATTCTCTCTATTGTGCCCTGGTGTCTTCCAAGGACTGTGCCCCGATGCCTGGCCTGCTTGCTTGCCCACCGGGCTCGTCAGGCCAGGGCTTCTGTTGCTTTGTGACCTGGTTGACCTGCCTAGCTGTAGACCCTCAGGCCCCTTGAAGTGATAGCCGCTGCTGGGCGTCTCTGTAGGACCTCCTAGGTCAGTCCAAGACCTGTCAGGAGGCTGTCCATTCCCTGAACCCCATTCTGTGTTTGGGCTCATGTGGGTTTCTGTACTCTCCCAAAACTCAGGTGTCCCCTGATTTGTGCTAGGGGTGTTGTAGTCGGGACTTGGTTCCTCGACTAGCTCTGTGTATGTTTGACCCTCTGTAGGATTTGGGGTAAGGTCAGGCCAACTTGGGGGATTGTGTGCCAGCTCTCTTGCGGGGAATGATTTGTTGGGATGCCCCCGGGTATCCTCCGTGACTGGAGTGCTGTGTGATGTGTGTGGAAAGTGAGTATGCCCCCGGGGTGACTCCCTGGCTGGAGTAGGCGTGGATGCCTGTTGTGTGGGTAAGCTCCATGACTTCCTTTTCGGAGCAATTGCAGAATCTTGGGACGGCCGTCTGTGGCTCCCTCAGTGGAGATGGGCAGTAACTCTTGCCCTTCCCTTTGCTCCAAAGGGTCCCCCTCCCCCCCTGGAAAAGACCCAGGAGTTTCAGCAGAAAAGTCCCGCCTAGAGCGGAGTTGGTCGATGTGCCGACGCAGGACACGACCGTTGTCCAGGGCAACCTCGTAGGAGAGAGGACCTGTGATCCTGGACACAGAAGCGGGGACCCATGTATGACCAGGCCCGTAATTGCGAGCCCAAACCGGGGCACCCACAAGTAGTTGTCTAGGTGCCCTAGGATGTGATGTAGATGAAGGCAGTCTGTCCGGATGCAACCGGTCAAGTCTCGTAGTAAGTTGGCGCCCCCAACGAAGTTCAGCTGGACTTCTCCCTGTAGAAGTGGACGGTGTGGTGCGATAAGAAAGGAGAAAGTCAGCCAACCTGTGATGCCAGTCCCCGTAGGTGAGTCTCTTCAAGGCGTTCTTCTTGAGGTTGTGCCTTTCGTCGGCCCAGACACACAGCTGCAATGTGCCCTTGTTTGCCGCATGCCCGGCAGGTAGCGGAGCGGAACTTGCAGTCGGTTCTCCTGTGGCGACCTCCACAGCCGATGCACTTGAGCGGAGCTGAAGAGCTTTCCTTCTGATTTTCTCCCTTCGCGGGGTGTAGACGGTCGACTTCTTCGTCCGGATCCTCCTCGGAGTTTCGTCGGACGTCTTCTTGGTGCACGGACGCACCCTCTGCACTGCTTCTGATCGGCCGCATGTTCTTGACGGCGCCGCCTGCTGCTTCTTCCGCGGTGGCTTCCCTTAAAGCGTCTTGGAAGGATAATTCTTCCTTAGCGAAAAGTCTCTGTTGTAGCTCTCGATGCCTCAACCCGCACACGAATCGGTCCCTCAGTCGTTCCTCGAGGTCCTTGAACTCGCAGGGCTTGGCGGCCTTCCGTAACGCGGCGATGTACTCCTTGACTGACTCCCCGGACCGTTGATCCCTCTGCTCGAAGGTGTGGCGCCATGAGATAACGGACACCTTGGGGTGAAAGTGGTCCTTCAGCAGCTTCTTCAGGTCTGCGTAGCTTACAGACTCTACTGGAACAGGTGCTGCAAGGTTTTCTGCGATTTCGAAGGCGTCTTGGCCGCAAGCGCAAAGCAGGGTGGCAGCCTTCAAGCTATCTTCCCTCACTTGGTTTGCCTTGAAGTAGTTCTCCATTCTGGATACGTAGGACTCCCACCGCTCTGGATGTGAGACGTCGAATTCCGCAAGCCTTCCGATTTTCGCCATCTTCGGATCTTCAGGAGACGGGTCTATCAGCCAGCCTACCCCCGAATGCGCACTGGATTGGCGGGCAGCTGCTGAGTCAACACCGTTCCTCTTCCGCCGCTCAGGACTCCTTGGGTAAGCTTACACTTTTTCCTTTCCAGGTAGTGCAAGGCATCCCACCCTCGTCGCCAGTGTTGCGTCCTTGGCGGGAAAACAGACACGAGAAGCAGCTGGAGTTCTCAGGTTCTTTTATTCAGCGTTCAGCTTACAGGAAGATGGCTTCAGCTCAGCCCAAACGCCTCGCAGCCCCTTATATAGGCAACTCCCGGGTAAATGGGTTACTTTTCCCGCGCCAGCACCCGCGCATGCGCACGGCGCTGGCGACAGCCTGTCTGGTCCCGGGCAGCTTTGCACCTGCCCGGGACTGCCTGCAAACGCCCGAGCCGTTTGCAAAGGCTCGGGACATAACACTACCCAACAGTGGTGCAACCAGATGTGAGATGCCCTGTGTTTTGCCACATGTGTCATGCTTTTTGCATTTCTGTATTTTCCTTTCCCCGTTATTTTTCTGCTCAAGTACACTAGTTACTATAGAAACCAAGACGTCACCGAGAAAGGCAGGATTTAGCAGCAACAATGAATATAAAGCAGACACAATTTATGTAATCTTTTCCTATAGTTTTTAAGGGTTGTGATGGGATAATTATGCCTCATGGAAATGTAGGTATGCCTATAAAGTCACTAACTCATACATTTAATCAGCTGCCAGAAAAAGAACATTTAAATCCAAAGCAGAAAAAAAAAGGGGGGGAAGCATGCTGGGCATTTAAATTATTATTCCATAATGTTTAATTGTTATTCCATAATGTTCTATATGATGGATGCATCATTTTCTTTTGTTGGTTTCCCATTGAAGAAGAAAGAAAATGTAATTTAAACCCACATAAAGGCATTGCATCTTTTATGTGCAATATTAACAATCCTACTTTAGCACATTTATGCACGCATGCCTGTGCATTAGGACTCAGTGCTGTGGCATCATTTAATGGGAGGATAACTGATCAAACACTCCACTAATACAAATTGGTAGCAGTGTAATACCATATTTTTTGTGTTTCCATTCTAAACACTCAGGTGCTGCAGATCTTGGATGAGTTACAAAAATGGGCTTCTCAGTTACACATACTGTATAACCTTTATCAGCATGAGGTCTCTTACCATTTAAGCTAAGGAGGTGTGATCTTGTAAATTGACTGTTAGAAAATCACCTTGGAATTAGTCATACATTGGAGTTCTCAGAAATGGAATGGGGAATAGGTGTCCTTACTTCTTCTTATACGTCCAGGCCCTTTGATAGTTGAGATATGTAACCCTAATGAAGTGATAGAAAAGAGTTTATTCCTATTTCCCCTTGTGGGTGGATTTGTACTGGCAGATGTTCCACTTTCTGGATCCTCACAT